TGGACCCCTGGATCTCTGGAGTCGCTGGGTTTTCTTCCTTGTGGCCCAATTTGCCCTTTGAACAAGCAGGTTGGCTGTTTGGGTGGTTTTACAGACAATGGCCTTTCGAGTGAATTGGGCTTTTTGATTGGGCAGCTTATGTCCAAAATCCCATCATCATCGGGACTAATGAAGAAGTTTTCGATAACTCTGACACAGTTGAAAACTTGGCCATTCCAAAATTGGTTTTAAAGGAAAAGATTCTATACCCTAGTAGCTCATCCCATGATCAGAGGGTGCCCTCGATTCAAATTTCCAAGAACGGTTTGCTCAACAGGAAGAGACCAAAACCTGTGGAAGATGAAAGGCCACCACAGGATTACTTGATTAATGGCAACAACACATGTAGGACCTTGAAAACGGATGATGATTTGTGCTCCACTGCTGAATCCTCTTCAGCTAAGAGGCAGATTACCTGCAGCAGAAACTCGTTTTCTGTTCCTCAATCCTGATCTTTTTGTCAACCGGCAAGCCTTCTAAGGATTGTGAATCGTCAGAACTCCAGCAGTCATTGCAAGAGGAGGTTAACATGGAAAATAACTCAAGCCGAAATGGTACGTTGAGTGCTATAGTTTTGCATTTAGCTCAATAATTCAATGACTGAGATTATCAAGTCCAATTTTTAAGTCTATCTAGTATTACTCTGGCTCAATTTATCTGATCATCTGAATATGACTTGTTTCATGCTGCATGGCTCTGAATCCATGTTGGGTCTTTTTTTGCTTCTTGACTATTATGCGTGAACGAATTTATCTGAAAGCTCGGGTCTCATTCAGATATGGATACCAGACTAGATGTTAGTGCATTGTGGGTGCTTTGCTTTGTTTATATATTTAGTTTTGTAATAGATTCTTCTACCTATTTTTAACCGAGGGGGAATGAACTGAAGCCACAGCCCACTTCACGTATCTGTATATTGTTTGGCAAGTCTTATCTGGAGGACATCTATGGAGCTTTTGAGTCTGCTCAAAGGTTTAGGAGAACTGGCTGAACTGGAATACAGAATTCAAACAGAAATGAAGGTGCTTTAGAGTTCATAATCGTACTTAAATGTACTTCTGGTGCAAAAAGTTTACTTCCATTGTGCACTTGCTGCCACAAACAGCATGAATAGGTGAAAGCGAAACACCATCTTGCATCCAGGGAATTTGAGTTGCCAAAAGCATGTCTGAAGTTATATAATGTTTATCCATCGGAAGCAGGGTTGAAATAGCCAGTGACAGAAAAAGGATCAATTTTTATTTTATTTTTTCCCTGTAAAATTTGCTGAGATTTTGGGATTATGAAAAGCTTTGGCATCAATATTTTTAGGGGAATTAAGTTTCTATGCACTTTTCTTGTAGCATCGACAGTTGAAGCTGAAGAGATTGTATGGCTTAATTTAAAATCTGGTTCAACTACTTGGCACCCAATATTTTGGAGATATGAAGTCTTCCAAATTCCAGAAACAGATGTATTCCCTTGTGAATAAGAACATAGACGTCTCTCTCTCTCTCTCTCTCCATAAGGAAACATCAGAAACCTCTAAAGACAACTGACAACAACTAAGTTGATCATGAATATGAATTCAGCCCAAAACCTTCAACAAGAGTATTGTTCGTATCCATACAAATTGTGATTCCCTTACATGGAGTTAACAAGTTTAAGTTTAGCTTGTTTGAGAGATAAACGGGTGGATCCGTACACAATTTTATCAAAAACTCGATTGTAAGCAAATTTATTGACCGAACAATATGATAAGTGATAGAGTTTTTAATGAAAATCGTCAACAATTTATTTACTCTGCCAGCAATCAGGGCAAGTGGATTTAAGCTTCAGCCTGCTGTTCGTGTTAGGTTTCCCATGGTGAATGTAGTAGGGCGAGTAGACTCTTTTTTTCAGTTCAACACTTAAGGTGTTTGGATCAGATTACGCATATCTTGATTAATCACCTTCATAACTTGGTTAAAAGTAAGTCATCCAAGCCGGGATTAGGAGAGTTATGATGTATAAATCTCTCATAACTTGGCCCCAATAAATTGTTAAGATTCAAATTCAGAATGTCTGAATTTACAATTCCTTTATGGTACTTGAGCTAACTTGGGTTAAGTGAGTAGATTCAACTTCTTATACTTGCTCTCCATTGCTGTATCCAGCACGAATAAATCGATCAGAGGGCTGAGTTTTTTTTTTTTTTTGGAACAGTGAGAACTGAGTTGATAGGATTGAACCTTACAAGGGTAAGCCGTTTTTATGAATGTAAATCCAATTGGAAAATTAGGGTTCTTTGGAATGCTAATCAAATCAGTAAATTTGAATTCTTTTAGAATCTTATCCTTTTAGGAAACTAGATACGTATTGATTAATTATTGGTAGAGGAAAGAATTAATGATCTTCAACAGAAAATTGAAAAAAAAAAAAAATACACAACCACCATTGTTGCAAGCTCTGCAATTATCGCCACAGAATACCCATCAATACTTATTAGTTAGTTTGCCAAATATGCTTTCTGAACAATTATTGCATTTGGAAGATAGCACAGGGAGGTAAAGTGAAGTTTGTGCTGGTTTGATTAATTAGCATGTCAAAAACAATGAAATTAAACTAAGAGAACGACTTTCAATCAAACAATAAGAGCATGTGAACCATAGGCTCTCTGGGTTTAAACTAAAGCATCAAGAAAATTCTACATCCCAGCTTTGTAGGAGATACATTTTATAATTGTTTTATCACCGTAATCACTAAATGTATGGATCATTGAATTTGGTCCGATCGGATTTTATTGAATTTTTTATACTGGATAAACATCAAAATTTAGCCAATCAAGTGGGGTCGGCATAATTTGTAATTTGATTTTCTTAAGGATTGAAATAAAGTGGGTAAGAAGTAGTCAGTGAAAATCTCGTTATTATAATTGTTGATTGCTTACCGATCTGAGTCTGAGTAAATAAAGATTCTGTTAATCCCAAAACGAAAGTCGAAGGAACTGAGGTAATCCCACTTGTGTGATATTTTTGTTTTATTTGTTAGAAGACATCCAATCAAATTAACTCATCGTGATTTGCTTATTGTGGAGGCAAAAATATGATTCTCCAAACAAAAGTTGAAAGAACTGCAGTAACCTCGCTTGTGTGATGATTTTGTTTTTTTGTTGGAAGATTTGCAGTTTATTAGTTACTTTTGAGTTCATTCAATCAAATCAATTGATGGGGATTTGATTATTATGGGGGCAAAACTATGATTCCTCTATGGATAATATAATTCAAGACAGGAAGATTCATGTGTACTGTTTTAATTATTATTGACAATAATCAAATACTACATATAAGATTATAAAGACAATTGAAATATGAGTTTCTTTTTTTTTTGTTTTTTTTGAAAATGAATTACTCATTCCTAATTAGGATTACTATCATCCAAACACCACATTCACGTCTTGGATAAGCCAAAAGGGAATTTTGTTCCCATAGTCAAGAAATGCATATCCGTGATAAAATTGATCCCACCCCTTATCCTGCTATCCAAACACGTGATAGTGAAGTCACTGGGTCCCTTCCTTCAGAGTTTGCAAAACCCCTGATGTTGCATTCCTTCATAATGTTTGTTGACAGATGAATTTCTTCTAACTTTACCACTTCCAACTACTTAAAATTCAACATAATGTCTACAATAAATATCAAGATAACAACAATTGAGACAGCTAAAATCACTTTCTCTATTAGTACACTATGAAATAATAAACACAGCAGTTTTCCCTTTGCACTCTTCATTGATTGTTGATTAGAAAGAGCAACTTTCAAAATCTATCATAGCTATATGTAAACACAGACCAGATTTTAATATAGAAAAGCATAGTCCTGAGGGACTTATTGCAATCTAAGATAGTTTTCTGATATATTAAGAAAATAATTAAACTGGAACTTTCCTAATATCATGACCACCATTCTGTGGCCTTATCTCTGTTGCTGATTCACTTTCTTCCTCATTCTCTTGTGACATTTCTTCCAATGATTTTCCATTTGCTTCAGGGACCAAGAAAGTGAACACCATACCAAAGAAGTTGATGCAACCCAAAACAATGAGTGAATTCTTCATACCAATGCCCGCTGGATAGCCAGCGTCAGTCTTATTGGGGTTCGTGCTTTGAGAAGCGTATAAAAACCCGAACGCCCCGACAATGGCTCCAGCCTTCCCAGCGGCTGCTGATATTCCATGGCATGTTGACCTCAGCCTTGCTGGGAAAATCTCAGCTGGAACAATAAAAGTTGTGGCGTTTGGACCGAAATTGGCGAAGAAGAAGGTGAGTGAGTACATAACCACAAACCCAATTCTGTTGTCTTTATGAGTCCAGTGATCATAAGGAATGGCCAAGGCAAACATGAACACTGTCATGAAGAAGAAGCCCATTAATTGAATTGCAAATCGCCCGATTCTATCAATTAATGCCACAGTAAACCAGTATCCAGGAATGGTACTGCAGAGAGCTATGAGAGTTTGGGCCCTGGCGATTTTGTAAACCTCTTCGATGGCGTTCATCGTTTCTGCAGGAGGAATCCACCCAATTTTACTGAAAATGTCCTTCTGGAACAAGTTCTGGCTATAGAAAGCAATGTCCAATAAGAACCATGTACTAGTGGTTCCAAGCAAGTGTAGCCCATGGCGTCGCAAAAACTCCTTCGAAAACAACCCAAAATCGTTTCCTCTTCTCTTCTCAATTATTTCCGGTTCCACTTCTAAATCGACTTGGAGTACTTTGGACATATCAGCAGCGGCCTGTTTAGCGTTCTTGGCCACTAAGGCGGTGTAACGGGCTGTTTCAGGCATCTTCATCCGCCAATAATACGTTAGTGCGGCGGGTACAGCACCAAACATCACAACTATCCGCCAAACATAGTCAGCTTGGGGGACGGTAGAGCCAATAGCGTCTTCGAAATAGGGCCTGGCAGGATAAGCGGAGTTAAAAGCAGCAGAGACTATAATGGCAACAATTCCACCGGCCAAAATTCCAAAACCTTGCATGGCAAACACGGCCGCGATGAATGCTCCACGAGTCTTTTTATTAGCATACTCGGACATTATGGTGGCAGAAAGCGGGTAATCCCCGCCAATGCCAAACCCAAGCCAGAATCGAAAGAAGCAAAGTGTGGCCATAACAGCCGCAGGGTCTTTGCCAAATGAGAGACCAGAGGCAATTGAGCAAATGACCATGAGCATAAGGGTCATGCCATAGACTTTTTTGCGGCCCATTTTGTCACCGAGCCACCCGAAAAAGAGTTGGCCCGCAAGCGTACCACAAAAGGCGACACCATTGGCCGCGGCTGCCACGTTTGGTGGCAAAATGCCGGGTTTTTTTGAATGATCATCATGGTAGTATATGCGGCCGAGCGATTTGGTGACAAGAGAGATACAGAAGAGATCATAGGCGTCGGTGAAGAAGCCCATGCCAGCAATTATAATTGCAGTGAAATGGTACCATTGTGTTTTGGCTATATCAAGTGCATTAAGCACTTTTAGTTGTTCTCTTGCCATGACCACCTCTTCTCAAAAGCTCTTTCACTTTACTACTTGTAGTTGCTATGTTCTGTGAACAAGACAAGGGAGATTTATCAATAAAAGCTATTAAAGTTAGTAAATTTTAAATAACTAAGATAAGAATTTAATTATACACAATACGAACATGGCTAAACTTCAATACAATCGGATATAAATTGAACAAATTTTAATACAAATTAAAGAAAAAGACATGACATGACTATTTATTTACAGTCCTATATGATACCAGTGGAAGATATTTATAAACAGAAACAGGTACTCCATGATTAAGGACTAGTTGGTTTTTTAATCAATAATACTTCTGTCAAAAATAGACAACAAAAGATGACAAGTTTTTCCACAACTTTGACACTCTCTTGCATACATGAATATTCAAAGGTGGGGGCCAAATGCTCTGACCTTTTATGGCTATGTCGTATTGAATATGGCAACTTAAAGTAACTTTTAAAATTACAAAATAGCCTAGCTCTTTTTTTTTTTTTTTTGTCACGAGAATAATTCCAATGAAAATCTTGAATAATATGTATGTGTTAAATTTGAGTTTTATATGATTATAAAAACTTGAATTTTTGAATTTATTTTGATTATAAAAACTCAAACTCAAAACAGAAAACACCGCTTCCTTTATTTGACCATTATACCAACGCGGTTTAGGATGATAGAATTTCGGGGATAAACAAATAATAAGAAAAATAAATAAATAAAATGTCACAATCAAAATTATATACTATATAACAGCTGTTGTTCAAATAATAGAAAATATAGATACATAGAGATTCTCCATGCTGGACCATTTGGTGAACTTTTTTTTTTGTTAAAACGAGGGCTCCTAAAATTTGGAGATATGTCTAGAAGTTTTGGCGCTACTCAGGCCTACTCTATTATTACAGGGAAACTGTTTGAACCAGGATTTTAAAATCTAACGATAGAGGTGATGGTCAATAGGTCAACGGTTAACTTTACTCAACAGTCAACTCCACTGTTAAGCTACTATTTTTCCATCAAACTCTTCAATTTTTTTTTCCTCGTTTTGTTCTCTGTCCGGCCGCCAAGATATTCAGAGTTCTTTAGTGAAAAAGGTAACTTTGTAATTTTAGAAAAATTACCAATAATATTTTAAAATCCAACAGAAAACATAGAGGAGACTTTTCAACCAACCAAACAAACAAAAACATGTGAACTACATGAGCTTTTGTAGACAATTTGGGATTCACGAAAAGACAAATTTTACCAACCCAGAAGGCTGAATGTGTGTGTATGTGTGTGTGTGTGTGAGAGAGAGAGAGAGAGAGAGAGAAATGAATTGCGACCCATGAACCAAAGTGTCTTTATTAATAACCTAATTTTCCAAAGGAGAGAAACAAAAGGACACTGTTTTGAACGCTGGAAACAAGGCATTAAAGAATGAGAAAAGAGAGATCAAAACCCAATTTCATGATTAAATCTCAACTACAAATTGGATATCTCATCTCTCTGTCTCTGTATCTGCCTCTCTCTCTCTCTCTCTCTCTCACACACACACACACAAGAACATAAATAGCAATTCGTTTCCTTTTAAGGCCAAAATAATCAACCTAAACATGTCATACATATACACACAGATACCTAGAGAAAGTACAGACTACAGAGAAACATATATACAACATTTTACGGGTTGGAAAACAAAAAGTAAAAGAAATTACACCCAAAAAACAGAAAAAGAAAGTAGAAATATCCTACAAGAAGGAACCATCTCACCTTAGCAGTTTCGTACAGCTACCCTTTTTCCAAAGCTTTCAGAGAGTTGCAGCAACCTTGGTCACAAACAAAGAACAGGAATGAAAGACAGGCAGAGAAAGAGAAATGTAGAGTACACTATCGAGATCGAGATCGAGAGCGAGATCGAGATCGAGATCGACATCGAGAGAGTATGGAGTCTACTGACTATGGAGAGAAGTGAGAAGGGAGGGGTGGTTCGTATTTAACTTGTATCGGAGTCTATCGTTCATGGTTTCGCTTTGAGGATATTCCACTTCTATCCTCCACAAGTTTTTCTATTCAGTGACTCTGATTCTGCCATGTCGTCATTTGGTCCACATACTAAAGGCTAGTTTGACGTGGCAAGATCTGGGGGGTTGGTTAATCGTATTTTACACTCTCACATTTGTTGACACGTGTCCCATTTTTTCCAACTTAACTTCTATTGACTGTCCTTATGTCTTTATTTTCCAATATTTAGAAATATTACATGTATCGACTTCATTCATTTCGGAAAGAGCGATGAGGCGTAAGATCTAATTTATTGATATAATGATGTGATTTTAATAGAATCGTTGGATCAACACTAAATTATAATATTTGATGGACCCTATAATTAATCCAAAAGTCATAGTAAATTAGATCAATAAATTAAGTTAATAAATTAGGTTTCAATACCATTACTCTTCGAAAAAATACTTAAATTTTTTTTGTTTAGTTTTTTTCTGTTGACCACACGTCATACCTATGCTTTTGATTGGTTAGTTTTTTTATTTTTGAATAGTCAGGCGTCTTTGAGTTATGATATTTTTTAAAAAAAATTCAACGATTCATTTATATATGAATTATTTAAGAGCAATGTTATGTACATTTAAAAATTAGACTTAATAATTACAACTATTAATTTCACTGTGAGTCTCAATATTCATTATGACTCATTACCTATTTAATGGTTGAAATTATCAAATCTAATTTTAAATCTATTTTTTAAATTTATCTAGCATTACTCATCATTTAAATACAAATTAAATAGTTTAAAAATTAAATTAATAAAATTAATATTTTAATCATCAAAACTAGCAAATGGTGTATATTTTAAAGATAAACTTGGAGGTTTGTTTAGACAGTCAATTTGGAGTTGATATCTCAAATTTAAGTTGTTCCAAATAATTGAAGAAACACACCATTGTCGGCTGCAAAATAAAGCTTGCCGTTGACATCAACCACTTCAGTCTTAATACAACTCCTTTCTTTCAATTATTGTAAAATAATGCACGAATCCCAAAATTGTGTAAGTAATAATAGGGAGGAATTATAAATTCAGACATTTTGAATTTGAATCTTAACAATTTTTTCAAATCAAGTCATGAGAGGGATTTATCTTTCATAAATACAGTAGACGTGGTGGTCTGCTTTTAACCAAATCGAGAAGGAAATTAATCGAGATGCGCGTAAACCGATTCGAACACCTTCAACCGTGAAACCAAAAAACAATAAAATAAAAATACACATTGGTAATTTTTGATAAGGTTTGATGCCAATTCGGGTATTTTTGCCATAATCGTAAGTTAGCACTATATTGATAGTGCGTCACAAGTTTAAGTAACAAAATTAGTCTATTGACTTGTGTGAGTACAATTACGTACATTATACACTCTTTAAAACTCGTAATGATGACAACCTCATGCGCTCACTTGGCCTGATATTTTGGATTGAAATTGAAGGTTTATAAAATATTTTTTATAGGTGTAATGGTGATGAAAAAGACAAACAAAGAATAGCACAAAAAAATAAAATACAATTTTTTGGTACGAATGAGATTATTTTGGTCAAAGATAAAAATTATCAAAAGACTTCACAAGTCAGCATTCTTGATTCCGTTCACATGGATGAATTTCCAACATCTTTCCTCAATGAAGACTTCAAAAAAATGTGTCCTCAATTAGGGAAAAATTGGAGACAAATTGCTGCAAGTCGTGTTTATATCTATTAAAGTGGGAATGCTTTGGAAGCCACCAAATTTAGGTGCATGTACTTAGCTTAATTTTTGATGATCAAAATAAATTTAAACTTAGGTCGTATAATATTTGATAGTTTTATCGATGGGATCTAAATCTCATTCTATAGGTCGTATAATATTTGATAGTTTTATCGATGGGATCTAAATCTCATTCTATATATTTGCTCTTCAATCTATCTGTTAACAGATCATTCATTATTGATGAGTCTGGATTTGACTGAGTCAAACCTAATACATGGAGTAAGTCTAAATCAACTAAAAAATAAGTCAAGTCTAGCTCGTGACCTCAGCCCAGTCTAAAATTCAAGGGGGTACAAGAAGATTGACGGGGAGCAATTATTGGGATAGTCACTCTCCAAAATCAAGACTATCTCTAATTGTACCTATTTTATTTGTGCTTATCATCTCCAAAAGATTAGACACCTATCCATCACGTCATCGTCTGAACTAAGACTCTATATCTATAAATTATAAACTCTTTCCACATTCCACATGAGAGGGACATACCTCTACATCCCTACACATCTTGTACATAACGCTCTCTCTCTTAGCTATCTAGAGCTCACCCCTTGCTCTCTCTTCCACCATCTACTTTTACAGTTCTCTGACCACCGTCGTCACCTTTAAAGTGGAGTAGATTAATCTGACAAAATTACTATATATCTGTGTGTTGACTCAATCTCTGTCTTTTATTTGTATTATTATACTCAACAGTTGATTGTGCATAATTTCATTTTTTTGCATCATCAATTATCAATGAATAAAAAACTCACTTTTATGTAATGGGTCTCAATTACATACTTGAGGTGATCCGTCAAGAAGAGGATTAAAAAAAACGTATTGGAGGAGATTTTCACTTAGGGATGATAATGGACCGGAGTGGGGGCGGAGGAGTAGTCTCTAGCTTAAAAAATGTCCATTCATTCCCAAAAAGTTTTAATCCTCACCCTCGCCCCGCGGGTAAATTCTAATCCCCACGCCACCCCTGTCATCCATCCATAATAATGAACGTCTACAGATAGTCTATGAAGAATCTAATTCCATTAAAAAAATTATCAAATCAGTCATCTCTAAAAAATCAAAAAATATATATAAAACTAATGAGTTTAGTAGAGTTTACTTACCGAAAAAGAAATAAAAAAAATAAAAAAAGAGTTTAGTAGAGTTGGGTGGGAGGAAAGTTTTAGTCTATCATTGCACAGGTTTATACGAATATTCTCATATATATCTACCGTTCAATACGTCTAGTTCATCCGCCATCCAAACAGATTGAGTTTAAACGAATCCTCACTTTTCTCCGATCCACTGTCATCTCTAATCTCACTCCTTCTTGTTCATGTAAAAAATCGAAAAGATACAAGACAATTCAATTTGAACTCGTTCTATTTAAGTAAACTCACAATCAATACATAAACGGATGATCTAACATTGCAATTATTGAATGAAAAATTAGTTGTTGAAGGGATTCCAATTTTGTCACATCAAAAAAAATAAAAAAAGCGGCCAATCAACCATGTAGACACAAGAAATATAGAAAACTAGCTCATTAGTACAGCTAATTGATTCGTTAGGTGACATGAGACAATTTAATACATTAAACAACACCCCCACCTAATTATACAATTCAAATAATAAAAATAAAAATCTCCCTTGGTCTCTCTTAGGTTTCCAATTACGTACGGAAATTCAAGAAAAAAAATTATAAACAAAGTAACAATCAAAGAACATATTCTTTGTCATTATCGTCGTGCTTATCTAGCTTAAATCATTAAATTAAGATAAAAAAAATTAATATTTAACGTTTACATGGGGCCGAATAATTTGCTGTCTTCAGAACCTTGGACAGTGGATGTTTGTCAAGTTGTTAAGAAGTATTATATAGATAATCAAGGTGATTAGCTACCAAATTAATTACCTTTCAAGCATTGCTAATTCAAAGAACATCTCCAAAATCAATAGATTCGCTATTTGTTGTTGAAAGATCATCAATGAAGAATGGGACAACAAAAGATGATCTTACTGAGCAAGATATCAATGGTAACAAAGAAGAAGACACAAAGAACCTTCAGACTACAATCGAAATGGTCAAGCTTGATCGAGAGGTCTTCGAGAAGAAGTAGAGTGAGTTGCAAATCATGTTTTATGTCAATCGGAAAAATCTTAATCTTGAAGTTTCTAAGAACGTTCAAGGAATTGAACAAAAAAATGTATGATTTAAATTTGAATTTTGAATTTATGATAAATATTTTATTGACACATCTTTATTAACATTGAATTAAGAGATAATAATTTTTAAAATAAGAAATTAATTTAAACTGTTTTCAAGGGAGGGTATTTTAGAGTTTTAAAAAAATAATGAATTTAACTATTTATTAATAAAATTAAAAATAAACTTATTTCAAAATAATTTTTTTTAACAGACTAAACTCATTATAAATCCATCGGAGAGAATTCAACCACAATTTTCACTAAAAATAATTTAGGGACATTGAATTCAACCAGCTGGTGGAGCTAAATGTGGGCCCACAGAACTTGAATTTATATGAACAAAGTCCTAGTCAACTGTGGCATTTTTTTGAATTGGGACAAAGAGAAAGAACCTTCCATTTTGTTTTTGGTTTTTGGTTAGGCACAGGAAGGAGCTACTTGTATAGATGTAGGACCAATATTTGCCTATTTGCATTTGTCTTGTAGCCGGTAAGGTCCTTAGAGTTGCATCATTTGAGTCCGCCTACTTTGTCACCATACTCGTTTTAAAGACTAGGCTAGGAAAAATTGTACTTTAATCCTTTAGCTACGCTCTAAAGTATAGGTTGGAATGATTTCTTGTGTACTCTCTTTATGGAAGCACAGCAACAACTGAGATAGGAGTGGTCTTCTGCTATTTGAATTGATTTTTCGTGCACGAGAATTACAAATGTTTTGCCTATCAAATTGGTGGCGCTTCATGTCAGTTGCAAATGATAAAAGGTTAATCTCTACCTAATTAATAAAATTTTATTTTTGATATATAAAATTTTAATCTCTACGCTTACATCTCGTGTGATTTAATTTTTGATAGAAAATTAAAAAACAATCTGTATCAAATTCACATTACTATCAATTCATAATATTGAGTATACAAATTAAAATATTTAATGTTTGAGAATACAAAAGTAAGAATTAAAACATTTTTTACGGTACAAAGTGAGATTAATTCTATTGTTTATAACAATAGAA